GAGCGACCGATTTCATTCTCGGTATCATTTTGCATTTGAGAACGGTCAATCAAATTAATATCATTTCCTTTTGTTTGGGAAAGAGAGACACTGGCAGCGGTCCACTCTACCCATGATTATGGGTTTTGGTAAAATAGTAAATATGTATATAATTATAATATAATTCGAACAATTGAAAAAAATCAAATCGGCGGGTGAAAGATCCGTTTCATGATATGTACAAAACAACACCAATAATATATTAATAAAATTCGATCTGTTATTCACCTTTTTCAAATCATTCTGCAAATTAAAATTTGATTAATATATAAGATAATCCTCTAATTTGATAAATAAGTTCTCTTCGAAGCAACTTTAATTATTTCGATCGACCGAATGAATTGGTAAATCTGGATAAAACTTTAAAACTGGCTTGATATAAAAATTAACTTCTATCATTTGATAAAACATAAATTTTTAATGATTTATTGGTTCAAGAAACTCAAGGATTGTCAGTAAAATTAAACAAATGGAAATGATCGCGAACATGTTGCGACTTAAATACTTGACAGTTTATATTTCCACTTGTTACACATTGTTTACCTGGTATGGGGACCCCAGACTATTAGTATTATATTTATGTTCATAATCATAGAATAAAGATTCGGCGGAATGACAGGCTGAGCGCCGCCCAGTTACTCGACAGTCGGCAGAATACAGTACCTTGACGTTTAAAACATTACTATTTGTCGCTGTTTCACGGAACCAGTTTCGTAAATCACGCCCTCAATCCTCATTTGAACAAAAATAAGAATTTCTTAGAGTTGGGAAAATTAAATAGTGTAGAAAATTTACATGTAAATGTTATGTATAACAATCACCGAACAATAATATTAATTGACGTATCGCAGTATAACAAAATAAGCATTTCAGATCTGGTAAACAAATCGTTTAACTTTAAAACGGCTACCCAGTACCCAGCATGCAGTGTAGCGGTACTTAAGAGAACATTCTTCTGCATGTGGAGTTAAATATGTTTTATATGTATAAAACTTGAATATGCAGTGTAAATAGTTCAGAAAGAGAACGAGCATCAATAACCACATGAAGCTACTAACGTGTATAATAATATCCCAAACTTAACTGTAATAGTGTAATAGTATAATAGTATTTAAATATCGGAGGACTTGTTCCTTTCGTTTGTACTACGCCATGCACTTCGTTTGTAGTTGTACAAGGGGTCGTTCACATATTACGTAATGAGCCGAAGGGGGGGGGGGGGGGGGGGGGTTTCGAATGATTTACGCTAGTGTAATTTTGACACAATAGCTATGTGTAAAACTGATTACGGAGGGGGGGGGGGGGGGGTAAAAATGTTCCAAAAGAATGATAACGTAATATGTGAACGACCCCCAAGTACTTAAATGTTTTGATTCACGTACTGTAGTTCGACACGCACTTTAGTTCGACAACTTAAGTTTACCAGTAATTACCCCTGTCGACCTTCGGTACGTGTCGAACTAGAGTCCAGGTAACGTACTCTAGTTCGACAAATAGTTTCTGTTTGTGATCCAAGGGCTATTGCCGGGTCGTTATCATAAGTTCACATAGTTAAATGGCAGGTGATTGTAGTATTTATCATATCATCAATTATCTCAATCAGCTCCCAATAAGATTACATAATGACATATTGACAATGTGCACATTACACACATTATTGCATATTAGTTAATCAGCATGTGATAAGTGGAAAGCAAACCGGGGGGGGGGGGCAGGAGTCTCCAGTCGGGGGTCCAGAGGGCGAAGCCCCCTGAAAATGTTTGACTTTTTGAGTTAGAACATTATGTCCTTTATAATATTACCGTTACTTCTGGCTCACGGAACGTTATCAAATTTCATATGCGACTCAAAATTGTTCAATAAAAAACTAAATTGAAAGATATTCTGAATTACAAATTGTATCTTTATGAATATCTTTCTTATCCAGTCGAAATTCTCTTGTCGAACATTAATACGTGTCGAACTATATAGTCCAGGTAGCGCACTCTAGTTAGACAAAGTCGAACTTTAGAGTTTGCCGAACTACAGTACGTGTCGAACTAGAGTGCGTGTCGAACTAAAGTACGTGTACCAAATGTTTTAAAGATCTTCCAAAATGTATCCTTCTATTCTGATGGTTTACCGTTTATCAAAGCTTTCTTTAGTGATTTAACTTTTAGTACCTCAATTGTGTCTTGTGCCACCAAAGAGAAAAAAAATCAGTCAAAACAGTGAAATTTGGGTCGCGGAAAGCTAAAATTTGAAAATTTTCATTGCATCAAAGTTTTCTCCGGATATGATATTACTGGTTCCAGTACCTTGATGGCGACTTGTGTCACTCTCACCGACCTCACTGATTGGTCACTGGTCAAAATTCAGTCAAAACCCCGACCTCATTGATTGGACATTGTGAACTTGGTTCTTTTGCGATAGGCAAAACGCGACAACTAGCGCTGGATGGCGACAACTAGCGCTATCCAGCGCTAGTTGTCGCCATCCAGCGCTAGTTGTCGCTATCCAGCGCTGGATAACGCTGGCCAGCGCAAAATATATATGTTCGATAATTGTCGCTATCCAGCGCTAGTTGTCGCCATCCAGCGCTAGTTGTCGCCATCCAGCGCTAGTTGTCGCTATCCAGCGCTAGTTGTCGCTGGCTATGCGACACTGTCGCACGCGATAGTTTGCGAAGGCCAGCGCAACTGGCCATCGCAGAAAACAGTTCGATAACTAGCGCTGGATAGCGACAACTAGCGCTGGATAGCGACAACTAGCGCTGGCCATCGATATCCAGCGCAAAATTTTTGCGCTATTACTCGTCAGCTAGCGCTAACCAGCGCTAACCAGCGCTAACAAGCGCTAGCCAGCGCTAACCAGCGCTAACCAGCGCTGGCCAGCGCTAGCCAGCGCTAGCCAGCGCTAGCTGACGAGTAATATCGCAACTATATTGCGCTGGCCAGCGCTGGCTGACGAGTAATACTAATATCGAGCGTGCTAAATCACTCTACAGTCGATCTTCGAGATTGTTCTAAAAGGGCCCCCGATGGTTGTGTCCAACTTCAATCGATGTATTTTCGGACGCTAATTCCGAATCAACCCCCATGGGCCCAAGACATAGGGTTAAAATGCTCTCCTGACGAGATATTGGCAAAAAACTGTACATGTAATTGTATCGATCACGTGTTATGACCGTATAATTAGGAAGTTAGTCTAATTTCTCGTTATTGTTAGGGTTTCAGCATATGTTTTTGTTAAGGATTGGGTTAGGGTTAGGGTTGGGATCAGATTAGAGGGTTGGGGTTTCGAAAAGTCGTTCAGAACCAGCTAGAGTCAGAGAATGGGTTAAAAAAGGCACGTGACAGTCAAGTGTAAAGTGATTAATCATCTTCCGAGTAATATCGCAAGTAAATGATTTTGATACATTGTGCTGGCTAGCGCTGGTTACCGCTGGCTAGCGCTGGCTAGCGCTGGCTAACGCTGGCTAGAGCTGGCTAGCGCTGGATAGCGACAACTAGCGCTGGCTAGCGCTGGCCAGCGCTGGTTAGCGCTAGCTGACGAGTAATAGCGCAAAAATTTTGCGCTGGATATCGATGGCCAGCGCTGGCCAGCGCTGGCTATCGCTTAGCGCTGGCCAGCGCTAGTTGTCGCTATCCAGCGCTAGTTGTCGCTATCCAGCGCTAGTTATCGAACTGTTTTCTGCGATGGCCAGTTGCGCTGGCCATCGCAAACTATCGCGTGCGACAGTGTCGCATAGCCAGCGACAACTAGCGCTGGATAGCGACAACTAGCGCTGGACGGCGACAACTAGCGCTGGATGGCGACAACTAGCGCTGGATAGCGACAATTATCGAACATATATATTTTGCGCTGGCCAGCGTTATCCAGCGCTGGATAGCGACAACTAGCGCTGGATGGCGACAACTAGCGCTGGATAGCGCTAGTTGTCGCCATCCAGCGTTAGTTGTCGCGTTTTGACTATCGCAAAAGAACCGTGAACTTTAGGTCAAGGAAACAGCAGAAAAGCTTATAATTCTTTTAAAAGTTATTCCTTATTATTTCATTCGAAAATATTGAAATTAAACTAATTCATAGTTTGAAGTTTAAAAGCTATTAAATTTTGATAGCTAACACGCTTTAAAATGGCTGTTGCAAATAAGGTAGCCTCATTATTTTAATTAAATGACAACCATGCTTAATTAGCCTTTCTTCATTTTGTTACGCATTCCTGATTTCACTTACTTAGCGTGATTTAGCGTGATTTAGCGTGATTTAGCGTGATTTAGCGTGATTTAGCGTGATTTCACTTACTTAGCGTGATTTACGTAGTTAGCATTAGTTACTGCATTGAGCATACATTTCATTATTTCATCAACATTACATACACTACAAAATAGCAAGCAAAGTCCATTAAGAAGGCAAGTAACATTTGTGACACTTGGCTTTAGTCGCTTTCAACTGCAAATCTTCTTATTGTTGTGTTTTGTCAGAACAAGTCCCTTACTTTTTAAATAGAGCTGTTAGTTGCGAGATTAATGGTTCAGTGCCAATTCACCAGTGCATTACAAACCTCAGTCTTCCTTATCTCTGCTGTAAGATAATATATGATTATCTTTTTTTAACTAATTACAACACTACAAATCTATTACATTTATTGAGGACGTTACAGAAGGAATTGATTTAATGTAATTGTAGTTGGAGGAGTCGTTTAACTCTCCTCACGTCCGTAAATGGAGTTTTCTTTGTATCATACATGAGCGGCCATTGTATTAATATTGATTAGATGCAGTGGCGGGGCCCTATTGTACTTTTAGCAGCAGGATGGTACCACATTTTATAGTTTTTAACAGCAATGCTGATACCCAATACAATTAGAGGTGGGTTCCATCGAAAAGGCGTTAATGACCGGGATGTGGACATCATGGTAATGATTTGGATATTTTGATATGGTCAGTGATAATTAAGGTATAATTTGACCTAATTAAGTTATAACAGCTAGGTAACTAGGTAACGGTACACTGGTGACTAGACACTAGGAACTACAATACCTTCCTTGAGTGACGTGGACTAACGGAAGTGAAATTCAGTATTGATCTTGTGCGCCACGTTTGTTAGCTAGAATATGGATCTCTTCGGTGTGTTTCTCGCTTTTATAGCCATCACAGCTCTGGATGTTGAAGCAGGTATTTACTAGAAATTTCAAAGCCTGAAGTACATAAAGATATTTCTTTTGTCAGAATATTTGTTTTTACTTTCTCTACTACATGCCATGTGTGTGAGCGCTTGTGAGCGCTTGTGAGGCTTGTGATCTTATTGTAACAACCTCCTACTTCCAGGTCGAGCGTTGATGTCTGATATTAGCGGTTACCGTAAGTTCCTTAACGTTTCCTTAATTGTTAATGAGTAAAACTGACTGTTTTAAACTCTCAGTGACAGGATATTTGTATTAATTCTGTTAAGAGAGCATGCCCCAGTTACATTATTTCTCTGGATAATCTCGATATCACATATTTGGAGTATTTTTATTGACGATCATGATATTTAGCATATTTCAGCCTCATTCCAAGACACACCAGACGAGATCTCAATTGGTATACTTGGCAGTCAACTTACCAAGGAACTAGCAGATAACAATTTTGGAAAGGAAGCTTTAAAAGTGGTTGTTGACAAGGTTGGTAACCTGTTCGCTTTTCTGAGAGTTTTACTTTTCAGTTGAGAAACACAGAACTGAGAATAAAGAATAAACTATGAATGTTAATTAATGGTTTTGTTCACAAATAACATAGTGATTAGTGAATAGTGACATAATGTGCTAATGTGTAGTGATGAATCTTTCCCAGGTATTTTATAAAGCTGACTTAGATGCAGATAATTTGCTGGATAGAAGAGAGCTTGCACTCTGGCTCCACCAGAATGAACTGGAAAATAAGGCTGCAGAGATTAAAGCAGATTTCTGGGTAAGTTACAGTGGTTTTTTTTAGTACTGTTTGTTGTTTGTTTGTTTATAGAACCCATCCCCAATCTCGTATCGGAAAATGACTAAACTCAGGTCTGAGTGTGAATACGGGTGGTACCTGCAAGTACTAGTACATTTATAATCTAACAGGACGTTAGCGTACGAAATGAGCGCCAGAACAATTGACAGTGTATACTGAGGGAATTATTCATATGAAAGTCAGGGGCAGTCTTTAAATTCCAGCTCGAGTTTCTTGTCACCTACCTATTATATTATGTCACCTATGTTGTATTTGCAAACTGTAAACTTATCAAGAAAATGTAAACTAATCATGGTGCACTGTTGTTATAAATTACCCAGCTGAAACAAAGTTCAATTTCTGTCGGTGCTAGCTGGCTTAAATAGGGGGGGGGGGGGGGGGGGGGGGTCATGAGTATTTTTGAGAGTCCCGACGAAAATGCCAAATTCTCATTATTTTTGAGAAATGTTTCCAGGAGAGGCGAAAAACTCATTCTCAAAAATTGATTTTGAGTATTTTTGGACCACATTGCACTGATATGATACAAGAAAACATGAAGAATAATTTAGTATATCAATATTTTTGAGTGGACAATTTTTGAGAAAATGAGAAATCCATGCTGAATTTCTCAGATTAAAAAATAATTTTTGAGACATTATTGAGTATTCCCGGCGAAAATGGTCAAATTCTCAGATTCAAAAACTCTCAAAAATTCTCAAAAATACTCCACATTCACTATTTAATGTTCATAACAACTTCAGGACTGGGATGAGAACCAAGACTCTCAGATGACGTTCCAAGAGTTTGGGCTCTACGGAGGACTGGATGATATCTCCGCCATGGACTTTAAGAAAGAGTTCTTACTGGAGGACAACAAACTGAACTATCCTCTGTTGGAGCATGACCACCCTGTTTTGGAAGAGAATGGTTCTCCTAGCTTGGCTGGAATTATTAGCAGACTTTACAAAATATTCAAAGTGGTTGATGTTAATGAGGTTAGTTTACATTTACATAATAATGTTTTAATATTTTAAATAATGATTCAGTAGCTTTTAAAATAACATGTCTTAATCGTCTCTAGCTGGGAATAATGGTTAGTTTGCTCCAAACATAATCTCTAAACCCATATCTATCAACAATTTTATGTTTCATTAGTAAAATATTGATAAGGCTGAACTATGTTGTCAATGATGAATTCTAGCCAGTGAATTCCATTCCTCCAAGATAACAGGTTTAAATGTTATTTTTCCCCCAGGACGGGTCTCTGAGTTGGGAAGAGTTTGTGGTATTCTCGTATCCAGAGGACTTTGAAGAGGTTCACCAGCTGGCTTCAGGCGAGAGATTCCGTAAGCTGGACGAGGACCACGACAACAGATACAACATCAACGAGTTCAGGAAGTACTACAACAAACACGTGACCATTAATGAACTGCTCCCTCTAGAATATAGGACAGCTGATGTGAGTTGATACTTTGAGGATCTTTTATTTTGATTTATCTTCGTTAATTACTAAAGAATATTTGTTAAACTTCAGAACGATGGTCGTCAATAAATTTACATGTAAGTCCTGATCACTCAAACTTCGACGAGACCTTAAATATAATCTTTACTCAGCGTATGTTCAACGCTTGTGATAAGAATAGGGATGGCTTCTTGTCCTACGAAGAGAGCGACGAGTGTTTTAAAGGACACATCGCCATCGATCACCGTGAATCTGGTACGTATATGGTAGGGACTCTGAAACATTTGTGATACTAATAATTTAGGACCCAGCAATTAGGGGGCCACTGTAGAACCATATGTGTATACTCTTCAGTGACAGAACAAAGCACTGGTACCAAGTTAGAATTAGTAAGTAGGATTCCCTACCAACGCGTGATAGAATTAGTAAGTAGGAGTCCCTAACAACGCGTGTTAGAATTAGTAAGTAGGAGTCCCTAACAACGCGTGTTAGAATTAGTAAGTAGGAGAACCTAACAACGCGTGTTAGAATTAGTAAGTAGGAGTACCTAACAACGCGTGTTAGAATTAGTAAGTAGGAGAACCTAACAACGCGTGTTAGAATTAGTAAGTAGGAGAACCTAACAACGCGTGTTAGAATTAGTAAGTAGGAGTACCTAACAACGCGTGTTAGAATTAGTAAGTAGGAGTACCTAACAACGCGTGTTAGAATTAGTAAGTAGGAGTACCTAACAACGCGTGTTAGAATTAGTAAGTAGGAGTACCTAACAACGCGTGTTAGAATTAGTAAGTAGGAGTACCTAACAACGCGTGTTAGAATTAGTAAGTAGGAGTACCTAACAACGCGTGTTAGAATTAGTAAGTAGGAGTACCTAACAACGCGTGTTCCTCAGTTTGGCTGATAGAGGACGGTGACAAGGATGGAGATGAGAAGTTAAGTAGAGAGGAGATTGTAGAGGAGTTTGATACTATAACTGAAGATGACGACTACTTCCACGACAGAGACGAGCTCTAGAATGGGTCACATTTATATCTGGAAGATCATATTCTGTAGTCATTCTTAGAGACGAGCTCTAGAATGGGTCACATTTATATCTGGGAGATCATATTCTGTAGTCATTCTTAGAGACTAGATCTAGAATTAAGAATGGGTCACATTTATATCTGGGAGATCATATTATGTATTCATTCTTAGAGACGAGCTCTAGAATGGGTCACATTTATATCTGGGAGATCATGTTCTGTAGTCATTCTTAGATAAACTAACTAACCATGACCTTGACCTTTATATCGCAGATTTATTTACATCTAGGACACCAACTTATTTTGACCGACCTTGATTTATAAAATTGTTGGGTATTATGGCGTTGTATGATTTAAATTTCTAATAAATATTTGAACTTTATTGTAGTTAGAGATAAAACACAATGTTGATTTCTAAATTCTAAGTCTAAAAATGTACTTTAGAATATAAGGATAAATTGTGAGTCATACTTTAAATAGTTCCAGAAAGAGTTTTCGAACCGGCCAGTATGGCAGTCACTACAGGTAAACACACACACACACACACACACACACACAACACACACACACACACACACACACACACACACACACACACACACACACACGCACCATTACTGATCTCTGAGAAAATAAGATTTGATCGTCCGAGAAGTTGAACTCCAGTATATAAATAGGAAGAAGTCTTAGAGACCCTGTATAAGTCATTAAATTAAAACTGGCACTCTCAAAGTAATAAAACAACTCCTTCACAGTTTGTTCAATGTTCTCCGCCTCTTCCACTAGGCAGGGGTGCGTGAGGCTGAGGGAGTGTGAGAAACTGAAGGTAAAACATTGTTTCGTCTCTTAGCCCGGTTCATTCTGAAGGCTCGAGCTGCAGCTATCACCATCCGACGACTCTCTTCGCCTGTGAGTGGAGTAAAATCATGAGGGAGAAGCTAAAGGTGGGGCTGAGAGAATATATTTGTTAGATACGTGTTTTTTAAAGCATATAAAAGGATACTGAGAATGATAACGGTTGAAAGTTGAACTAACCAGGGAGTATTTCGGGGTTAGTAGAGTTCCTGCCACTGCCGAGATTTTGACTGAAGATCTTGGACATAACTGAGTTGTTGTTTCGTTTGTTCATGAACCGCCCCATGACAATGGGTAGGAGCGGGTTGTCTTCAGGACTTTCGTTTAGATCGCAGATTTCTTTACACCAGATGAAGAACAGCACACAAACCCTACTTCGCTGAGCAATCTGGGGGAGAAAAGAGACTATAATAATTACAAGTCTGGTTGCAGTCGCACAGACGACCGATTAACAGTATTATTCAAAACCGAATAAATGCCTGCGCCTAAATGCCTGCGCCTATAATACTCCCTTTGAAGGACTCTAAATTGAGAATTGGGTACCCTCTGGTCCTGGAAGAATAACTTACATCGTAGGAAGGACTCTAAATTGAGAATTGGGTACCCTCTGGTCCTGGAAGTATAACTTACATCGTAGGAAGGACTCTAAATTGAAAAATTGGGTACCCTCTGGTCCTGGAAGAATAACTTACATCGTAGGAGGTCCATCCTGCCAACAGTTTCTTGACCTCCTTCTCTCATCTCAGGAGTTACTCTATCCTTTCTCATTCTCAGTACTCGTTTCCTCACAATGCTTTCTTCCCAGCTTACTCAACAAAACCACACACTGAAACGATGCAAGTTAGCATTTGCTGGGTCAAGGATAGTTAGGGTTGACACACGCTGCAACCCCTTTTGATCGCGCGCGGCCGAGAGGTATACAACGTGTAGCAAAGTTAGGGCACCAAAATAACAAGCTAACTTAGCTGCCAAAAGATATACTAAACTACAAACTAAATTCCTCACCTCCTGCCAGTGATCTAGACGTCTAGGATTCTCACCAAGAATCGTGTACACACACTTTACCACCTGAAAACATTATTTAGATGTCATTATGCTCATAATTTAAACTAATTTACAACGCTACAAATCTATTACATTTATCAAGGACGTTACAGTCCTGATCCTCCTAGCGTCCTAAGATAGCGTTTCTCCTGTCTCATATGTACATTAAACATATTATAATTTACAATCCATATTATATATCCAATTTAACATGAAAACAGTTAACAATGAAGGTAAAGATAAGACGAATAAATTAGGATTGAACATATTGAGATGACCTCGCCAGGTTCGTTGAGATAATTTGCTGATCCAGAAAACAAAACGAGTAAAGATTTTTTGAAGTTCATTTAGTTCAAGTTTTTATTGGTATCAAGTTTTTATTGGTATCTGTTTTTATATGGGATCTGTTGAGATCTGTATCAACTATCAGATCAGTGTAAGAAAGGTCTTGTAATAAAAGAAACACTAATAATCCATATAACTCACATCACAAATCTCTTGAGGGGGCATATCATAACTTTTAATCTCAGCGATAGTCTCGTTAACACTAGGACCAGAAGATCGTTTCCTTGTTAAACGAGGCCGAGGATCCTCTACCTCCTTAATTTACTATTTTAGCTCTTACCTTTTACAAAGTTTTAGTTGCTGATTAGAACGCATATTTTGAAGGGTGATAAGCATGAGCAGGACTCTTTAAAAAGCTAAATATAAATTAGAATTGTGCATCCACGCTATACAGTCCACAGGATCGATAGCGTCCTTACAAATTGTTACTTACAGCATGAACGTCGAGTGGTGGTGCATTGTAGGTCTTCATTTCTCCAATACTGGCATTCGTTCAGGTTCCTGATTTGATCTAGTATCCTGCAAGAATGTCCGTTTTTAAAATTTAAGATGTCAATCAAAATATAAACAGGCAGGATTAGCTTAACATCTCACCGCACGAAAGTGTGAAATATAACAAATATCTTCATTTATAAACAAACAATAGTAAAAAAAATTTTAAAAAAACCCCCTTTTTTCTAAGAACGATACCTTGTAAGTGGGGGGGAGGCTCCAAAATTAGATCATGACCCTTCCCATTTTGTTCTAGTATGTAATACTGTGTAAACTGAATAAACACAAGAACTAGCTTACTTTGTGTTAGGTAATTGTATACGTCTGTATATATGAGAATCATCTCTGATGATCCACTGGCATGGTGATAGCGTGATATTAACATTTACGATACGTGGTAACCCGTTATTAGTGTGTACTGATATTAGGTTATTAGGTTATTGATAATAACTAATATAGGTTATAAATCCACTGAGATTTATAAATACAGTGATTTTACGGTTTCGTGAAAAAATGTGTAATGTGATACGGAGGTTATCCAATGGTGAAAATTGGTGAAAATGGTGAAAAAATGGTGAAAATGGTGAAATTCTAATTTGGAAACTGATTCACCATAAAAAATCACCTTATTCACAATTTTACACCATTTTAGTTTTTTTTCCTTCAAAATATCAAATTGATTATTAAGAATGTGTTTCTGATAATATACGACAATACAAGAGCGCCAGTTTGACGCAAACCTTACTCGCCATGTTCACTAAAAAAGTACCCAGTTTGGATTTACTTTACCATTTGGATTCGTGATTCCACAAAAATTATTTCACAATTTTTTACATTTTTCTCGATAGTATACCCCGTGATACGTGCGCTGATACAATATAGTGTGTAATTAAGTGGCAACTGTTTTTGTTTTTGAAAACATCCCGACACAGTCTAGGTTGACTTTCAGTCTGTCCTGTAATAGGCCGGCAACTCTTGTGGGAAATGATCGGATACCAGTGTTCCACGACTTTTCGGGATATATTCCCGGGAAATATTAAAAGGGGAGATTATTTAAGGAGACAATATCAGGAGCAGCCTTGAACACGAAAGTAAGATTACTTTCGTGGAAGTGTAATAGTACACGTCCTGTTTATATGTGACTCCATACTCTGAGTGTTACAATTCTGGGCGATCTACAAACCTTCTATCTGATAAGGCAAAAAGCTGTATGGAGGGAGGGGCAAATTACTGATTTTAACCGCCTTTTAACTGCAGTGTTTTGTTTCAGGAGCAGCGCATAGACAATGTACACGAAGGAATCCTTTCACAGTTTGTTTGAGAAGTATTGCAACTCTTCTGGGATATACAAAAAGGTCTTCGTATCGTGCGTGTTAGATAAATAAATGGATGAAGAGGCCAGATCCTCGAGTCTACATTAGCTACAGTGTAATATTTTGTTCCTGTGGCTACATACCTAATGACTAGCCCATTGTTTAATTAATGTATCTCAAAGACATGTGATATCCTATTGTGTGACCCGTGTAGTGTACAAAACAGAAAAAAAAAAAACCAAAAACAAAAAAAATGACCGTCACTTGACACTGACCACAGCTACTCTATGAAGCAGCTCAGCTAAGCTGCAGCGGTTCATAGTGTACTCATTTTGGAAGGGCTGCGCAGTTTTATTATTGATGTACGCGCCGCGCACGTATATACGTATTAAATTATTAAACTGATAGTTATATCTCATTATGTATCATGGATATGGTATAGTGCGGTCGTATTATTATATAATACCACGCTGTATATTACGCCAGTATGCATATACGGTTAAACTTACAAAGGAGTCCAAAACAAGTACCATTATTACAGGTACATGAACAGACAACAGCCAGTTGATTCACCGATCAATACAAGGCATGTGGAGTCCGTACACGAACAAACCTCAGGCTGATCTCAACGCACACTTAATCGTGCAAGAGGTCAGTAACAGATTTACCCATGTTTCTTCGCAGCACCATTAAGGCGACTTTTATTCCTTAGCAGAAGTAATATTTCTTTAGATTCGTAAGGGACTCGCTGCTACCCATCATTTGCAGTACGAAAAACATTATGGAGCTTACAAAATCAGAAAGATGGAAGCCAATATAGGTCGTTTGGGTAATGGAGAGAGTTGATATCCACTTTTTAGTTTTTTGTTTTTTTTTTAAATTAAGTGATGTGACACCGAATATAAATCTTTTTTTCCTCAGTTGAAGAACACAAACACAGAACGGCCATGATGTGAACATTTAATGATTTGGTAACCGACTCCATTTGGTCAACCGAATATCATACTCGCTCGAATACCGAATCGATTCCAATAGGAAAAGAACTCAACATGGTCATACTTTCTCCCGGTCTCCCCATTTACTATCATTACTTACATTACCTAACACAAAACATATCTTCAATGTGGTATGTTCTCTTGACCTACAAAAGTTCCCGAACAGTGATATCTAATGAAAAGAGAATATTCTCTATTGGATTTAAGGTTATCCAATGTAGCACATTCCTTATGGCACTATCTAATGTCATGGCATTTTTTTAATGAACTGGACTGCAGATTTAACACCTCGCAGTATACAATGTACTCTTTATGTATTCAAAAGTTAAATAAACCATGTTCCACGTACCATATTATGTAGTACATGTTTTTCGTCGTTACAGTTTTCTGAATTATTTGGTGCAGGCACTGCAGGGGACTGAAGAAGTTAAGAATTTCAGATATATGTACTTTACTACTTCAAGTTACGACACCCGTTAAAGCCGTAGATACATTGTCATGTATCGTGGTCAGTAATCTTGTAAACTAGATCTGGCTGCCACCTTAAATTTTCTAGGATTGAGTAAGGAGTGTTTCATTGATCTGTGTGGAATGCTAGAGACAACTTGTAAAGAATGCACACCATTGTTCACTCGTAATTTATCTGGAAACTTGGCATTGTTACTGCTGATTGCTGAACAGTGAACACAGATAACATCGAAATAATAAATCTGGAGACCTGGTTGGATTTTCTTAAAAAAAGATTTTTAAAAAATTGTTAAGTTCGAACCTTATTTACTCTCTAGTTGCAGCATGGTCGCTTGAATTCAATGGAAAGTGATTTTTTTATTTTAAAGGCTTTTCATTCACGCATATTTAATGATGCAAGGTCAATGTGGATTTTCAAAGATTAAACTGAGATATGCCTAATTATGTGGGAAATTGTTGTTCGCACTTATGTAGGTGTGCTGTAGTAAATATTACTCAGCTTCCCCACAAATGAATGGTTAAAATTTTAAACATCTCAGAGGAATTCAGGTTTGTTACAGGGCTAGGCCGGATGTGTGCTCAAGTTTACAGAAATGACAACTTATGCCAATTTTCCAGTTTTAAATATTCGATCAAAATTGCAACCATTCGCTCGACTGATGAGTACATCCGGGTTGAAGTATATAATATGCAATACCCAAGCAATCAACAATCTCAAAAACACATACTATTCTCGTTCTTAGATAAGTCAGTACTAGTATAATACAGAGTCCCTTGGAGCGAGAACAGACAAGCCCACTATTGCCTTACTACTTAATTTCGGCTAGATAAGAAACAATATTTTTCCATGGGATCAAAAACAGCTGATAGATATCACTCCCCTCCATCAGAAACAACTACAAAGTCAATTTCGAGAGAATTTTGATGAAGACCCCCCCCCCGGCCCCCTTAATCCGAATAGCTAATGTTGCATCGCTGACTTAATCGGCCTGCAACATCTCACTTGTTAAAAAATTCAGAATAAAACTGAGCAAAATTATTTTCCATAACTTGAGATTTTGAATCACCATTCACCATAATATAAATATGGTAATATAACCTATAGGTATTTTTTGACAGCTTTGTGTTTATCAAAGAATGATATTTAATTATCCACTAATCGAATTCCATAATCATAATCAAAGCTACCACGATATCCGAATCAGCCGCTTTAGCATTCTTGACATTTTAGATTGGGATTGATCATCACGAATTTAACGAGCCTGGTCATGGAAACTTTGAAAAAAAGTAATATAAAGCCTTTATGAAGGAGTTATATTTGTCTCAGTTAAAACCTCTTTTGGAGTGTTAATTTATCAACGTTTGTCCGTCATGAGTTTTAATTTGTTAAACATTTTCGGCAATTTATTTGCAAACGATGGAAATACACCTCTCTCTACTAGTGAAGACACAATCCTAGTCTCGGTTAGGAAATTTTATCTTGCACCAGATCTTAATTATTCATACTGTAATCAGAACTGCCAGTACTGTATAGCCCTTTATAATATTTTCCGGGAATGATATCCCTGAAAAGTCGTGGACACTGGTAACGAATAATTTTCCGCAAGGGTTGCCAGAGTATTATGAGGACAGACTGCGAGTCACCTCAGACTGGCTGGCGGGAAGTTTCAAAACAAATAACAGTGGCGCACTATATATTACACACTATATTGTATCATGATTCATGCCCCGCGTTCCCTCAGCTTAAGCGTTGGGAATTATCGCGGGTAGCACTCAACAGCCAATGTATTATTGTATAATATAACGCAGTGCTTTCTATGACCGTACATAGCCATCTCTCTTAGCTATCGCCGGATCAATAGGGTTTAAGCCCTTTAAGTTGGTATTCCTTTACGTCAAATTTAATTTCAAGTATGATCGCGTCCAAATAATTGTCCGTTACTGACGAATTTTCTTAAATGTTCAATCACTGAAGGTTAGGTGCGTGCTAACTGCTGTGGCTTGATCTTATGTTGGCTGGAGCATCAACCTTACATATAGAATGTTCTAATTAACTTACTAGTAATTTTCACAGTATTATATCATTGACGAAATGACTTCATGATTATTATTATGATACGGGCCAATTTTGCCCCTCCCTCGAAATATAACGTCTCACTGTATTTTAATGTTGTAATTATGCAGGTCGAGTATAGTGTTCGCATCTATACCCTCATACAGATACTATTATGAATAGTTGCCTGTTGCGTTACCAGTTACGCAATGTATGTACAATCCGATAACTGGAACTTGAAAGTGTTTAATTAAGATAAGCCAAATGTGTTCAGGAGTTGCCATGGGGGGACTTCAGATTGTGGAACAAAGGAATATGTTTTACGATATTTTGTGCGTTGAACGAACTTTCGGAACCCAAGAATGCTAGGTCTTACACATATTAAAGATTGCGTCACTCAATCGATGAATACTTTCATATTCCACCACCTGAAGACACCCAAGTACAAGTGGCAGGATGCAAAAATTATCTCAGTCGAAAGTTTCGGCCAGGACGACTCTTCGGTAAATTCATAAAGTTTTTAGCCGTCTCCAGCTCCGAGGCAGATGCTTATTTTGTTGAAATTTGAACTTAGTTAACTTCAGATGGAAGTCGAAGAAACTCGGCCCAAGGATGGATTGAGAAACTATTACATAGCCAAAATAGAAGAATTGCAGAGTGTTTTGAGTGAGAAGTCGCAAGATGTCAGAAGGTTGGAAGCTCAACGAAATGAGCTCAATGCTAAAGGTAGGAGTCTTTTTCCTCTCATTAATTACTGTGTCTCGGTTGAAAATACAGTATAATGTAGCTCCTCATTTCTAGTAGCTAGGCTTTTTAGATTGTTTAAACACATAATTTGCAAAATTCAGTAAAAGGACACAAATTTTCACTTTTATATAACTATTAAACAGTGAATATAGAGTTTTCTAGATGCTTTCGTGTCGTTTAACATGTTAAATTTCAGTGAGAATGTTGAGGGAGGAGCTAATGTTGTTACAGGAACAAAGCTCTTACGTTGGTGAAGTCATCAAACCAATGGACAAGAAGAAAGTGTTAGTCAAGGTTTGTTCCATCATCTGTTTTATACTATGACACTACATCATTCATTTACAGAGATGGATCATTTTAGTCAGATGTTAGCTACTAAACTTCAGAATAAAATTACCTTCTGTTAAGCTAAATTTCATCAACATATTAAACTATTGCAGGTACATCCGGACGGTAAATTCGTCGTTGATTTAGACAAGAGTATAGAGATGAGTCAAGTAACCCCCAATCTAAGAGTAGCCCTCCGCAACGACAGTTACACCCTCCACAAGATCCTACCCAGTAAAATAGACCCTCTAGTCAGCTTGATGATGGTGGAGAAGGTTCCAGATTCTACTTATGACATGGTCGGAGGTCTTGACAAACAGATCAAAGAAATCAAAGAGGTAAGTATTTGTCAAATATATCCTATATCCACTCATATCTTTGAGTGTCTCCCATCCTTCGTTGTATCTAGTTGTATAGGACTGTTGTATTAATTCACTTTGCTATAAATGTATAATCTGCATATTGTACAGGGGGGAGGGGGGGGGGGGCAAAAGTAACGTTACATAAGTTGATTTAACATATTCCTCGAATGAGTGGTGATAGTAAGTCATACCCAGGCACGTAGCCAGGGGGGGGGGGGCTAGGGGGGCGGCAGCCCCCCCGGAAAAAATCGAACCCCAGAAAAAAGATAAGCCCCATAGTCCCCATGGTCGCCTGGTAACTGGGCTGTGTTTATGACTGCAGTCAGTCAAAGATTTGAACTGTGGATTAGTAAATATATGTCATTAAATCCAAGCAAACATTCTAGAAGACTTCTATAATTATAGTCAATAGTGTCCCCTAGACCGTAGGAAATGTAAAAATCTTAAGACGATGAGGCCTGAGTAAGTCGTAAATTCTGATTGGAGAATGCAGATTGCTGTTGTGAAGTTACCAAATTTACGTGAGTACTTGATTCTTTTCAATCCCAGTTTATTGCTGTCCTACAAATTTCTTTAATGCCAAATGTCGTCTAAAACACCCTGTTTCGCAAAAAATTTCCGGGGGCTGCGCCCCCCTAGCCCCCGCCAAGGGGCTCCGCCCCTGGACCCCGCTGAGGGCTGCGCCCCCAGACCCCTGCCACAGCTTGCTCGCTGCGCAGCTTGATTGGACGCGTCGGCTCGCTTCGCTCGCCGACAGCCCCCCTCAAAGAAAAATCCTGGCTACGTCCCTGGTCATACCAAAAAGAATTACCTCAATCGGGCAATCAGTGACTGAGCTTTAAAGGCCATCGTATGTAACGTTACTTTTGCCCTGTATGTTGGACATATAAAGTTGAAAACTTTACACAGTAAGTAGCTATTAAGTGTAATGTTCTACTCTATTTCAAGGTCATAGAACTACCTGTAAAGCATCCCGAACTTTTTGAAGCCCTGGGAATAGAGCAGCCCAAAGGAGTGCTGTTGTACGGACCTCCAGGAACAGGAAAGACGTTACTTGCACGTGCTGTCGCGCATCATACAGAGTGTACTTTCATCAGAGTCAGTGGTTCAGAGCTCGTCCAGAAATACATTGGAGAAGGTTAGCTTTCTGTTTTATGTTTTTAAAAGCATATTTTTTCCCGATCATGACTCAAAGTGCCGAAGGCACAAAAGAGTCAAGGACAAGGGTTAGCGATCGAGGTTTTTTTTTGTATATGGTAGCTTGCGTGCGTGCGTGCGTGCGTGCGTGCCCTCGCCCCCATGTCGACAGTCTAGTTATCGCCCACGTGTCTGCCTGCGCAAAGTTATTTTGCGCGATCATCTGAATTAAACAATTGTTGGCGCGCGGTGCTGAAATGTTCAAGTACATTGTTAATTTCACCATGTACGCATCCCGCTAGGGACAAATTGATAGCATCGTATTATTATTTTGAGTTAGTATTACTATTTTGCAAAGATCCGTGTCAGGTTGCATAAACAATAAACATATGGTTACATAGAAAATAGAAATATACACGATTTTCAAATTCAATATAGAATTATATCAACTGGGCGGCGCTCGGCCTGTCTCTCCGCCATATCTGCGTGCTTATAAACCGCAAAGACTGGGGTCCCCAGGTGGTATGGAATATGATAAAATACTTCATCCCGGATCGGGAAATTGAGCGGCCATCCACAAAAGAAAAGCGGCCGCATTTCTTGTTTTAGATCTTATACACATTATGATTTCACGATTGCAGTCCCGTATGGATAGTTGCATTCGAATAATCGCTCTAGAATATTCTTACCTACTGAAGTGTACGGGAGATATTTAGCTTAATACGGCTGCAAACTCATACATATATCCATGCATTTGCATACCCCCTACTCTGGGTACTTGGTGAATAAAGTGTTACGAATACTGTTAATAATGGAAAATTGAATACTCTTCAAAATTTCAGGTTCGAGGATGGTCAGAGAATTGTTCGTAATGGCGAGGTAAGCAATCGCAGTTTCAAGACTTGATTCTTCAAAAACATTTGCCTTTCCAAAAAGTACATTTTTCTGCTTATGTACAGCTTGTATGTTATCTCATTTTATATTTCCTCCTTTTTAAAAATGGCACTACTTTTGCGCCAATAAGCGGTCACACAGCTAAATTGCCCGACATTACACTGTTTATTTTTCAGAGAACACGCACCATCTATTATTTTCATGGATGAGATAGATTCTATTGGATCATCTAGACTTGATGCCGGACACGGGAGTAAGTTTGAAAATCTTAAAAAATAAGAAACAGTAACACAATCACGATAGTTCTTGATGAACCCGTGACAATTACGTCAGATGCATCTTTTTCAACTAGCAAAATAGGCCTCGTTCAAATGGAAAGCAAAACGTTTCAACAATTAGTAATGCGCAAAAGGCGCGCGCGAAGGGAAGTGTTCCGCTTTTGTCCTCGAAACTTCCTTACAATGGCCCCGATCTTGATCATTTGCCATCTTTTAATAAATAAACTTAACATGCTACTACTGCTCAGGTGACAGTGAAGTACAGAGAACCATGTTGGAGTTGTTAAATCAGCTTGACGGTTTCGAGGCTACCAAGAACATAAAGGTAAATTTTTCAATAACGCCCGACGCGTACGGTATTTGTCATGGCTGATTCACGAGTGGTATCAACTTATTTTCCATGTGCCTTGTTACATCTACTTATGTTTATTCCGTAGGTTATCATGGCTACTAACAGAGTTGATATTTTGGATGACGCTCTTTTGAGGCCTGGTCGAATTGACCGAAGGATAGAATTCCCACCCCCTGGTGAAGAGGTAATAAACATTTTCTGAATGGCTGATACTTAACGATAGATCTGTATAAAGTGAAAACAATTTAATTTTATGAAGATAAATTGCTAATGTCCCAAAACATAACTTGCGAAGAAGAAGTCTTCAAGCGAGTTAAAATAACAAAAATTACTTCGTCGCCTTTTTGGGACACGTTGTATAATGTATATCCTCTAACTACCGAGACCGTTCGTTTAGGCTCGTATGGACATTTTGAAGATACATTCTCGGAAAATGAATCTAACGAGGGGAATAAATCTTAAGAAAATAGCAGAGCAGATGTCAGGATCGTCTGGCGCTGAAGCAAAAGTAAGTACGACCTTTGACTTCATACAGAATAGTTAGATGGTTTAATCAATAACTGATCGATCTCTTGAAATTTATGGTCTGTTAGAGATCCCTACTTTATCTTGCGGAAAGAAAGATTTCTAATACTGAGTTTCTTTCCAGGCAGTATGTACTGAAGCAGGAATGTACGCTCTCCGAGAACGCAGAGTACATGTGACTCAAGAAGATTTCGAGATGGCAGTTGCTAAAGTCATGCTGAAAGATTCAGAAAAAAACATGTCTATCAAACAATTGTTCAAGTAGCTGCAAATCTGCCGATGTATCTTTCAGAAACGTTGCTGTCTTTTTTAGGACTGTCCTAAGTTGCTGATAGAATTTGAGCGTTTTAAATTTAAAGTTTAGCACTGACCCGACAATCAAGTCTTGCAATCTTGTGTTGTCAACAGACAAACTCCCTTTTCAAAATTGTCGCTCATTCAGGCTTAAAGGGAAATGGCTATGTTCTAAGTACTTCAGGATGCAAATAAAACTCATTTCTAGCTTAAATAATGCCCCGGCCTAATTGCACTCCAATATCAGTAATTCGCTGAAACGGCCTTGACAAGGGACATATTCAACAAGATAATATTATAAAATGAGCAGCTCTTATACTCAGAAATGGTGTGGGTATTTTGTACTAATTATATGTCGGTTTGTCAGTATATTATATGACCCGCAATGAAAGTTTTGAGATAGAGCCTCTATAAAATAGAATATATTGAGCAATGCTTTTTTGAAAGGAAGTCCAAAATATCAATGATTGTACTGGTTACAATAACACTATATTGAAGTAGTGCAAAATTTGAAAGTTATTTGTATTAAATAGTTATACAATAATTGTAAGTGGACTGTTTTATTTAGTTCCAAAGGTGTATCGTCAAGACATATCTTACAAATGCACGGATTTGGAGTGTTTAGACTTGGGGCAACATCATCAATCATGATTCATGATTCATGATAGTGTCTTATCATTTTTGTACAAGGCACATATGTTTGGCCTTTCTTGAACGGTTAAATGCTATTGCTGCGATTATCTATTTTACAAGTCATTAGAAAATGTCTACTAGAAATTGACGTAGACCGCTAGACCTACCCTGGTCCAATTCTAGCTTAATTCAGCACAGGAGAATCGGTGAAATTTCTTAAGATGTAAAATAACTGCGCTCCAATCACACGACATTAAATGCAAAATATAAGCGGGATTATGACTGTAACCAGTAATCACGAGACTAAATTTAGCACTTTCTCTGTTTAGTTTTGACAGACAGTGCAAAACCTCAACTCTGAACCTTATACCGACTCCCTATTTAGCTTATGCTAAAACCCTTAAACGAGAAATCGATCAACTTCCTTACATGGTCGTGCCACGTGACCGAAACAGTTTTTTGTCGATAACTCGCCAGCGGAGCATTTTAACCCAAATTCATGGATTGGGCGACATCTGTCGGACAGCGACATCTGTCCGAAAGCTGAATTAGGGTTTTCGGACAGATGTCGCTGTCGGACAGGAGTCGTTTTTGGCGACATCTGTCCGAATTTCGGATCATATTGTAATTTCGGTTCACATTCGTATTTCACAAGCGCACGGGTAATCTCGTGACGTTCTAAAGCTGATGTGATCCCTTAAGATCTGATCCATCGATACGTGATTGACCTCTCTACCGACAACGAACCAATGATGCTCTGGGACTCTGGGTGGGACGAACAGACTCGTCGATCTTTCCTTTGGGGGACTCCTAAGAACGCAGATCATATGGTGGACGCGGAGCATTGGGTAGTCGACGGTACCTTCAAATCCGCACCTAATCTCTTCCATCAGCTCTTCACAGTCCATGGCCTCTTCCCTGACGGCTGGCACCTCCCCCTCTTCTATGGACTCCTTCCTGAAAAAACGACGACCCTCTATACCGCAACCTGTTCGAGGAGATAGACACCTGGGCTTCTGGGGGCTACCAACCACAATCCATCCTCATGGACTACGAGCTCGCCATTCACAACGCAGTTGCTTCCGTGTGGCCCTCCACTACCAGACGAGGATGTAACTTCCACTACAAGAAAGCCCTCCTGAAGCATGTAAAGCAGACCAACATCTGGGAGGAGTACCTGACTCCAAACTCTCCTGTTCGGGATTTCTTCGCGATGACTGGAGCGATTGCCTACGTACCGGAGACTGACGTCCCTCGAATCTGGAGACACCTGAAGCCCCTCCTTCCTATAGACATGGCTCAGTTTGCTTCATACTACGAAAACACTTGGATCGGGACATCAACCACCAATCCTAACTTCGCTCCCCACATGTGGAATCAACACGAAGCTGCACAGATGAGGATTCCTCGCTCATCCAACATCGCAGAAGGTTGGCATCACGGATTCCATTCATTTTCAATGCTGTCCTGCTCGAAGCCCACAATTTGGAAGTTCCTTGATTGCCTTAAAGCAGAACAAGCCCTTACAGACGTGAAGAAAACCAAAAGAGACAGGCGGGAACTACCTGAGCCACGTGCACCCAAATGGATCCGTTATGATCGACAACTTCAGAGAATTGTAGATGATTACGACAACTACAGCAACCCTATGGATTTCCTTAAAGCTATCGGAAATTTGACTATGCTTTAGATTTGATTCTGTGATATTGTATTATATTGAATTAATTTATAACATTTAAATAACATTGAAACTATTGTCCAATTTATCGACATCAAATGAAAATAAACTGTGGTAGTAAACTATGGCTCAGATCATATCTCAAATTGGACATGTTACGTATACAATTTAGCAAGTAACAGTTTAGATCATGTCTCTAATTGGAAATGTGTCGTATTGAAATCAGGTCACAATTTCGGACAGATGTCGTTTTTTTCTGGTACCCTGATTCGGACAGATGTCGCTGTCGGACAGGAGTCGTGTTACCAAATTCATGTGGGGTGATTCGGGATCATCGTTCAAAAATACATTAATCATTATATTAGTAGGTATAATGGCGCAGGAGGGTCAACCTGAAAAGAACATTGCTTGACCCTCCTGCCCCACCGCATGGATCAGGAGGTTCATTTCAGAAACAGTGCTTGACCCTCCTGCCCCACCACATGGATCAGGAGGTTCATTTCAGAAAAAACAGTGCTTGACCCTCCTGCCCCACCACATGGATTACGGGGGTCATTTGAACCCACAAGACCATGTGCCATTCGGAATGAGTGTGAACTTGCTTACCAGGCAATCATGATTTCCGCTTGGTTCTCATCAGGTCTCTAAGAAAGCCAACAGTGTGCTGATATGCATTGTCATATGTACTTCCTAGAAGCAGCACACGGCCTATTTCGGACTTGCACGAGTTATAATTATAAGACCATGTGCACTTATTTCTACATCGCGCGCGATACGTGTGTGCGTGATTACATGAAATCTGCTTACCGTAGTCTTAGTAGAGGCTCTTACGGGCATTGTCTGCTCGATACGTTAGGGACCCCAGATACACCTTACTAGACGTATTTTTGACCGTAGAATCGATTGAAAGTGGTTTCAAGATGATTGGACTGATTGTTCTGGGGTAAAATCGCAAAAAACCGATTTTTGGGCCAAAAATAGGCCAAAAAACCATGTTTTTTGATATTTTGAGCAAGTTAATTTTGTTGGCATGTCGGCAAAACTTGCATAAAGATAGCTAAAAGACAGCCGCACAAGATTGTATAAAAATAAAACAAATCCCTCTATTTGTTCTGAGGTAAAAATCCAAAAAAGTGGTAAAAATTTTGACTTTTTTGCTTTAAGTTTGAATAATTTTTTGCAGTTGTATTAAATCAACCCAAAAATAGTCACATCGTGTTTGCCTAAATTTTTCCTTTCCGAGAAGTACCCACTTCATATACTTTATCGAAGTTTGAATATTGTCACTCCGCAAGCGTTTTTGCCAAATTTTCGACGCGCACTACGCGCAAAAGCATTTAGTTGTTATCAATTGGCACCCGCGCGTTCATCATAAATTTCAAACAGCTATAACTCAGCGAGATTATGTCCGTTCCAGCTCATATTTTCACACTAAATAGAAAATAATGTGATCTTATTGCTGACAAAATATGGATATAATTACTTTATTTGCCTTAGAGTAATAGACTGTCAAAGTTTAAAACGCGCATTGGTATAGCACGTGACTAATAAGGCCAAATTTATACTTCTTAACATATTATCGATCCTTAGACATCATACTATTGTGTCCAATTAGCGATTAGGTCTCTAAACTCGTAGCAGAAAACACGTCTTTTTGCCCGTAAGAGCCTCTACTATCTGAGCGCCGCTCAGCAGCTTCTTCAGAGTCCCACGTGGGGGCTGCCAGCCACCTACATTGTTCAAAAGATTAGGTCTTGTGACGTGAGACTATCCGAGTGCTATCTGATGAAAAGATAAGTGTGCGTTGCGTGTCATTTTTAATCTAGGTAGTGCGCCATCGACAGTGAGCCGCGCGTGCCGACTGTAGGATGGTTTTTTAGCGCTATTTTCGGCCAGCACAATTTTCTTCGAACAAATAGATATTGAGTATCCTTCCCGACCTCCAATTGCAACAAAAATTGGTAAGCTTACTCATAGACTTACTTGTCATACGTTGTATGACCCGCCGCGCACGAAGTGCGCGGCTCCCCCTGTAGCGTCGAAGACGCTATAGTGAAGCGACCGTGGGGGTCACCACGTGATACAAAGACTTACAAGGACAGTGTCCGAAAAATTTAAAGCATATCCAACCACCAGAAATTATGTTACAGCTAAAAGTAGCGTATTTTGCCCCATTTTGATCACTATATCAACTCCGATATCCACCAAATTTTTTCGGACAGTTGTGCAAGCCCTATTAGAAGGTCGTCGCCAATTTTCAGAATGATCTCATTCAAGGAACTGAAGATATATCCGAATAATACGACAAAATACGACAAAAATCAACGAATTTGGTCAAATTACGCGACTTTTACAGCTACTTTTGCTCCAAAAGCCGCGCACCATCAAATATGGCACCTAGGCAAAATTCACTGATCTTTCCAAAAATGTATGACAAATTTGGTATTGTGAAAATTCTCACAGTCTCTAGAAAACAGTAGTACAAAAATTTTTAAAATCCGAGCAAGTTTATTTTTATCGTGCACCTCCTATTTAATCGCCAGCGCAGCGTATTATAATATTAGAATAATAATATTGAGTGTAAAGTGATTTAGCACGCTCGATCGACTAGCCAAACCTTGTTATCAAAGCCGCATGGTCAAGGTTCGGTGAACGGTAGTTAAAAGCGCTTAATATAAGGGACATAAATATGTTAAGTCAAAGTGGTAGAGCAACATCATGTACACGTAGTTCACTGGACCTTGACTGCGGCTTCGTTAACAAGGTTTGGCTGGTAGCCGTAGACGGTCCGCAGTAGTCCCATATAATGGCGCAGGAGGGTCAACCTGAAAAGAACATTGCTTGACCCTCCTGCCCCACCGCATGGATCAGGAGGTTCATTTCAGAAACAGTGCTTGACCCTCCTGCCCCACCACATGGATCAGGAGGTTCATTTCAGAAAAAACAGTGCTTGACCCTCCTGCCCCACCACATGGATTACGGGGGTCATTTCAGAAAAAACAGTGCTTGACCCTCCTGCCCCACCACATGGATTACGGGGGTCATTTGAACCCACAAGACCATGTGCACTTATTTCTACATCGCGCGCGATACGTGTGTGCGTGATTACATGAAATCTTACCGCGCCCTACGCCAAGTAGACGAAAAGCGTGGTCGAAGAGCGAGAGTCGGTACAATAAATAAAACGAGAGTTGGTACATTTAACTGGCATTTTTTAACCGTGGTACAATCAGAATTGC